CATATTAATACTAAATCACATGATTTACCTGTGATTATACAAAGGGTATTTTTCTTATATTTACTATGATACTGGGATTGACAATTAATGTGATTGTGCTTATAATGATATAGTGACTAAAAAGTGGTATTTTATTATTTAAAAAATTGGGATTGAGCCTTAGTATGATTAAAGGAGAGAAGTGACTATATAGGAGGTGACTATAAAGGGGAATGACTATAATGTAAGATTAACAAAAAATTTAGCTTTAATCAATATTTTATAGAGAGCTCTAAAAGGTTTATAAATAGATACTATTTCAAGTGATAGTATGTATTTAGAATAAAAAATTAGGATTTTATTAATAATGAAGAATTTAATACAATTATATTTGTTAGTATATAAGAATTATTAGCATTACAGTATTTTGTTTATAGATAAAGATTAATTAAATTTTCTAATTATTTATAAATTATGATCCCTCTAACTAAATTCTAAAGCTATTATATTTATACTAAATTTATCAATATAAATTATTAAAATAATAATTGATTACAAATATAAAATAATTAATAATATATTTTGATTAATAATATAAAAGAAATTTCTGGTATTTTCTGGATTTTTGCATAACCTTCATTTGATTGTTTCTTTTATCTTTGCTATTTTATTATCTAATATAATACAATCAATGTGATTTTTGTTCATATATATCATATGTATCATATTGTGTCAGTTGATCTTTGAATTAATATTCTTCTATTATAGTATATAAATAAAATTTATAATTTTTAGTAATTTTTATTAAAAAAATCCATATTTATTATTATAAATATTTTTAATATAATTTATCAACTTTAGATATTATCATATAAAAGGATTTATTATACTTTTTATTATAATAATATGTATTAAAAATAACATTATATTAATAAAGAAAAATTTGCTATATAATAAATAATAAATGATAAAATAATAGAATTTTTATATACCTAAAATGGTTTATTTTTATAGTAAAATAAAAAAAGAAATAAAATATAACAATAACAAATTATATATGTATTATATTATTTATTATTAATGAAATTTCTTAATGCCGTAATGCCGGCGAGGTGAAATTCGTTAAACAACATGGTGATCATCACGAGAACTATATTCACGATAAATTTCGTCGATAAGATGTTGATACATAGTCAAAATGACCGATTATAAAGACAATAATTTAACATATGTCGAAGAAGATGATAAAAAGTATGATTGTAGTTTAGCACAAGCATTTGACCAATACATCCTTTGTTACAGTATGTATTGCTCCTTTTTTTTTTTTTTTTTGTAAAATTGATTTTTTTTCTCATTAACTCGATAATAACAAACTCTATCATTTTAGCTATTGGAGGTCAAGCGACAAATTATTATAGATACGGAGAACGTAAAAATTGCAAAACAAGCTGGGAAAATTTAAAATTTTGTTTACAACTTAAATCCAAACCTATTGAAATTCGTAAAGTAAATATTATTCCCTGTTAAATAGATATTGTTAACTTGAAGAATTTAATTATTTATTTATTCATTTATTTTTCGAAAAAAATTTGCCTGTGGATAGAAAATTATATTGGAAAGAGAAGCTCTTAAGGCAGAACAAAAAAGTAAAGAAAAGAATTCTTTAGATGTTTGGGAAATTAGAGAGTAAGCAAGTTTAAAGAATTATTTTTTTTTTTTTTTCTCATCTGATTGATTAATTTTTATTTATTTTTTATTTTATTTTTTTTTTTTTTTTAAAAAAAAAAAGCAAACCACCGCAAAATTTTCCTCCAAATGTACTTTAAAAAAAAAACATTTTATGTTTTATAAATATGATACTTGATAATTTTTTTTTTTTCCTCGTTTAGAAGAAACCAAAAAATTCTACATAATTAATGGGTCGATGTTATTTCCTTATAAGCTGTTTCATCTAATAATTTATCTAACTCTTTAGGGTCAGATAATTCTATTTTACATATCCATCCTAAAAAAAAAAAAATTAATTTAAAATAAAAAAAAAATATAAGTTTTTTAAAAAAATTACTTACCATCACTTTCAGGATATTTGTTTATTAAACCTGGTTCATCTGAAAGCTTATTATTAGATTCAGTTATTTTACCACTAACAGGTGCATAAATATCACTAGCGGCTTTAACACTTTCCACTGCACCAATAAATCCTATCAAAAATTATACAAAAAAATTCGGTAAGGATATTAAATTTTATAGCAAACGCATAGAGAGAATTTCTTAAATAATATTTACCAGACTTCTCAACAATCTTTCCAACTTCGGGTACTTCTACAAAAACTACATCTCCAAGAGCAGTTTGAGCAAAATCAGTGATACCAACTATACCAACTCCATTATCAACGCTAATCCATTCATGGTCCTTAGTATATTTCTTTGCTATAAATATTTCAAAATAAATTAATTATCTTAATAATATCTTTAATTCTCAGTTCGCAAAAAAATCAAGTACTTACTGCCATATTGTCTCGAAAATATTGACAACGAACTTCCAAACTTGGTAATATTATTAATTTTTATTGCTGGTCGAGTATATCCTCTATAGCCATTTAATATTACTATTTTTGAAGAAACATTGCGTAAAGTTGTTGTAAATGTCATTATATATTTTTTTTTTATCAAAAGAACGCGTTGAGATTTTTTTTTTTTTAAAAAAATTGATTTAAGATTAAACTATGTAATACAAATTTTTATTGGAAAATCGTAGATTGTCTGTCATTTGTCATTATCATGGAGATTTAAAAAATTGCATTAGAAATATTTTTGACATAACACGACTTTGCGCTATCTATCGAAAATATACCAGTAAAATCGTTAAACTTTTCACAAATCTTTACAAAGTTTATTAGTAGCGATTGTTCATTAGAAGAGGGTACAGATCTCTTAATAAATGATAAGAGTATCTGGTTTTATCCAACGTATTTCTGTCATTTTATTTGACTTATAAGTCCTCTAATTCAAATTTCTGTTTAGTTATAAGGCAAATATAAAGTTACTAGCTCTACCGGGTGATGCCCCGGAGTCGCTATCGCGACGGAAAAAATGTAAAGTTTTAACATATTTTTATAGTTGAAATAAATCATACAATCTGTTGATATTTTTTATAAATAACCAACCCTAACCCTAATACTAATCCTAACTTGTAATTGGTTTTTTTTAATAAATCACCTAACCCTAACTCTAATCCTAACATGGTGTTTTTAATAAATAATCTAACCCCAAATCTAATTCTAATGTTAATTTGTTTTTAATAAATCTCTAATACTAAAATTTATAGATTATTTTACAATTTACAATAAGGTTGGATAGGATTTTGCCATGAAGTGGCAAAATTCTAATCAATCATACATTGCTTATTATAAACTGTAAAATAATCTATAAATTAATTTTATAATTATATAAATATTTCTAAAGTTATATACTATTAAAAAATAATTAAATTAAATTATGCAAATACTTTTAAAATTATATATACCGTATTCCTCCGAAAATAAGCACCGCGTGATATATATGAATTTATTAGTATATACGTGACAAATAATATATTAA